TTATATGAGGTTTCTCGAAGGTTAACTTAATCCCTAACCCTTCTAACTATATTTATACTCCAGACGATCATTTCTATACACCTCTAAATAGTGGTAGTAGAACTGTATAAGTAATTATCTTAACAAATTACCGGCGACTTTCGTCGGGACATGATGTTACTTCATACATAAATATGAGTAAACACGCCTATCATTAACCAGCGGTAAATTACAGCAGACATGGTCGCAATGGAAAGGAAATATCTGTAATGGTAAAACACTAACCTGGGAAAATAACAGTAAGCATGCAGAGAAATATGTCTGTCATACAAAGTTTACTTTAGATCAGGGTTTCTCAACCGGAGTCCACATGAATCCTAGGGGTCTATGCAATATTTCTGGGGGTCCACAAGCAAAATAAAACAAATTGGGGGTTCTCAATGATATTTTGGTGGTCCATGAAGAAAGCCAACTTAGAATGGTTTTCATTATTAAAAATTAAAATTTTTACTTTAATTTACACTATATTGAAATATATATATATATATATATATATATATATATATATATATGAATGATTTTTCTTTCTTTTATACGATATTCACCTACCGCCCCACGTGGTCGGATGTGGCTCAAGGCCGAGTTTATTGTGGGGTATCCGAGCCCGTAAGCTCGGCCAAAAATTCCCCGTAGACCCCATAAAAAACGGGGTCGGGTAGCTGTCTACCACCCCAGGCGAGACTCTGGCCTAGCCTCGTCTGGGTTCCCCTCTGCCCAGAGGTAGAGAGCTCGACAAGCACACCACCGAAGTAATTCAGAGAGTGATTTACTTCTTTTATATATGTACCGCCATAGAATTTTCCATACCTAGGGTTTCAAATTAATTTTTAAAAATAGAAAATCATTCTTGAAGATTTCATTTTAGCTTTAATTGAAATCTAAATGATTAAATAGACTTGATATTGTGAAAAGAGGTGATCTTTGACTATCATTAGCATCGATGGAAACCAATATAAAGAAACTTGCTGCGCAGCATCAACCACACGGATCTCATTGAAGAAATATGCCTTTCTTTTTTTTTCTAATCACACACTTAAATTAGTTTATTAAAATTTTTAACCAGTGTGCATAAATAAGTGCTGCAATGAATTCAATTGCCAGAAGAACTCTGCTCCCTATGGCCTTGACCATGGAAAAAAACATTGTAATATTGTAATACAAGATATTGGTCAGTAAAAATTATTATTACTGTAATAATTATTATTATTAGGTCATTTCCTTTGATTTCTGGTGTACACATTTCTTTCCTGGTCCCGCCAAGAGACCTAAAGTTAGAAATGGCATCATGACATTTTTTAACTCTACAATTTAAACCCCCCCCCAAAAAACCCAAACATATTTTACATAGATTAAGCCCTTCGTAAGGGGTGGGCTGTACTCGTGAGAGAACAATTTTTTGTATACTATTATTATTATTGTAGAATGATTTATTTGCATTAAATTAGTTTTCATTTAAAAATATAGCTTAATTATTTAATATTTCTCTGATTACTAAAACCTCAAAAGTTTTATTAGTGAAAAATAGAATATTGTTGTCTTATGTCAAATAGCTATTTAGGGGTCCACCAAGAAAAAAAGAAGGGAAAAGCGGGGGGGATGGATAAAAAAAGGATTGAGAACTACTGCTTTAGACTTTACCTGTTTAAATCTACTCAAACATTTTCCCTGACTATTCCCTGCCGAGAAACTGGGACTCGTGCATATTCTGTGGCGTCAAATACAGTAAATAAAACGCTATTTCCTCCTTGACAGCTGTAAGTTAATAATATTCCATTTCATTGAACACGACATACAGAATACGTGCAGACGGAACCATGGACCCACAGGCGCTAACGCACGTATATATTATGAACAAAAATGAAAGAAAAAAAAAATTCTTGCACCAATGAAGAGTGCATAAAAATAAGAAAAATCGAGAAGCATAAATACAAAAATTAAAGAAATATATCCCAGTTACTTTAAATATAAATACAGTTTATTTTAAATACAAAATTAAAAAAAAATAACTAATCCCCATATGAACAACACCAACATTGCGCTAAGGAGATATATTTATTAAATTTAAATTATGTAACGGTCAGTCTCAATTCAGTACATGAAGATTGCTTTGTGCATGAAACACGGAGTCGGGCTACCAGTGAGGAAAATGTATATTTATTAATAGCTCTGTTATATTATATCGAGCACTACTTTATTAACACCAGCAATCAATGAACAATATCATATATATATCATCAGTCTAGCCACACTGATCAGCTGTGATACAGTGAAACAGTCTGTGGATGCCCCTGAAAAATTTATTTCGGTTGAGTTCTCTGGGGAGGAAGTGTGGGTTTGTAAACAGTGACTTTACGGCTAATAATGCAAGGCTCTTCGGTAAATCGAATTGAGTTCTTTCAATCACTGTGTGTTTATCTAAAAATAAATACACTTAAATTCACCTTCATCCCTGCCGTATGCCAACGGCTTAGGGATAGAATCCTCGACTGACTCCAATTCATTTGGGTTTCGATCCTAGCCACACTGATGAGCCGTGATAAATCGAAACAGCCTGTCTGTTGATGACTATATATATATATATATATATAGTTAAATTCCCAGATGAATTCTGTGGACAAGACAGATTGGTATCAAATGACAATTGGAAAAAATCCCATACATTTGCCGCCGCGTTTCTTCTTCCGACTTTTCAAGGCAAAAATGAAATCGAAATGTTTTTGCTGTTGTTAATTTTTGAATTTTAATGTAACTATAACAGCAAAAACATTTCGATTTCATTTTTGCCTTGAAAAGTCGGAAGACGAAACGTCGGCAAAATATATGATTTTTTTCCAATTGTCATTTGATACCATATATATATATATATATATATATATATATATATATATATATATATATATATATATATATATATATGAATAAGCAATGTCAGGTGTCTGTTTCACGCCTCAAGTTATCTTAAGGCTATATACCGCTATATCATACTTATTTCGTGGTCTCTATTTATAGGTCAGTAGGATATTAGAGGAAATGGAGAAAGAAGGAAACTGTCGAATCCCAGCTTTTTTTTTTTTTAATTTTTAGGGCTAAAGCATATATAACCCGAGAAAGGACGAGTGACACATCAGTTGCCTTTGTTTAACGCAGTAAAAAGTCGGAAATTTATGGTGTAGGACGACTCATCGCCGCCAACTCAACGCCACCGACTCAACACTGCCGAATCAACATTGCTGCCGACTCAACGACATGCAAACTATTAAACTTTTTCTTATACTTTTTTTGAAAACAAATAAAAGTAATTTATTAAGGTCCACTTTTAAAACATTATGTGCACTTCAGCCACTTCTATATTGATCGCTGACGAATTGTGAGAATGCTTTTTTTCCTTCCTTGAAAACTGTTCCAAACTTCGTATGAATCCTTGCATTGTACCTCTCTTGGTCACAATGCTAAAAGCTTATGTTGCTGTCTCTTTTACTAATCTTATCAAATACAAATAAATGGCCTTCGTGTGCAAATTTTTCTTTTCCTCTTTCCATTCTCAGCGTGATGAAAAGTTTGAAAATTAAACACCAGTCAGCCAAATAGGTGGTCGCAACTAATAAATCACTAAGACAAATAACCAAACTTTCAAAATCTCTACATCGGTGGTGAGTCGGCGGTGTTGAAATGTCCACTTCCGCGACCCTTAGGTCAATCTCTAATACTTTCAAAAAGGAAAATGCCGATGGAACTAGTTAATGTTTGTTACTAATCTTATGTAGGGTGTAATACCCACTTTAAACACGACCTTGTGCCATAGTTTTTTTTTTCGAGTGAGCATCATAAAAATACTAGTTTGGTTCTTGTGTTCGATTAATTTTAGGATCTGTTTCTCTTTTTAGCTTCTGTCTTGGGACAAATCGAGACAAAGTACGACGCGAACCTGGTACCGGAGATTCCGATTCTGCGGTAGCACCACCCTCATTGGGTAAAAGAGAAAGGTTGGTTTATTCTAATGTCTGCGTGATTTTTGGATTAGGCAATTTTTGTCCTTTACCGACACACATACGCGTGTCAGTAACCTACATTAAGCAGCCCATGTGTCACGTTCTCGGCAACAAAAGGAAAATTGTAAAACTGATTCTATTTAAACTTTAAAACTTAAAAACAAAAGAAAATTACTAAATAAATCAAAGCAATAAAAGACAAAATAAAACAAAGACAAAAACGTTTTTTTTTTTCAAAACTGCCTGGCAAACAATTGTGATAATTTCAACAGCAGACTGAACGAACACTGTAAAACGGATGCAAATATACCATTCACCTCGACAATTTTGCTAAACAACTTCATAGTAGAAATTAAAATCCTAAAACAGTCCAGCCCTTCAATTAGACAATGAGTTCTGAGTCGCCTGCTTAAAGTCAGAAACAAAATCCATATTGTACAAAACATTTGCTCTTTGAAAAATGTCAAACGAATTTACAAGGACGCCATATTTTTGAAAACATAATGGCGGTATCTATCAACAGGAAACATTGACATAAATGGATCAGGGACTATTAAAATCTGTTTAGACATAATGTCGCGTTGTCTATATAATCATATATTTTTATCTAGTTTAAAACAGCAGCAACGATAACTAATAGTTATTATTATTGAAGTTAATAGTTTTAAAACTTGCAAAAATATTTACATTTAAAGGTTGATGATAGTGTTGTCCGGGATAAAATAAGTTAGATGATTGTGTTAAGTTTTGTGAGTTAATTTGTTTCAGGCAAATTACCAAAATCTGTCTGAGGGGAATGCATTTGGAACACGAGTAAGAATGAGGCTCAGCTGAATATTCAATGGCAAAGGTTCAGAAGAACTCTATTTTTTAGTTCCAACAGTTCAGACCGTTACTGTGAGGACACATCCATCATGCTACTTCCACGGAATTGAACCACCGTCATTTCCTCCGTATTTCAAATGTAAGGGTTTACGGCCCCACCACGTTGAAACACCGGTTCCCGTACGACCACCGAACGTAAGCTACGTCGATCCTGGAGAGTACCTAGATGGATGACCTCTTGGGAATACCAGGTGCTGTAAGCTTGGATGTGCGGGTGGTGTAATGGATAACAATTCCGAATTGTTAATCGGAGAGTCGACTTCTAATTCCGGCTGGGTTTGTTATATTCACTTACGCGCAAATACCTCTTTCCCCCCACCTATGGGTTAATTAGTAAAACTTGTGTGACTAAATAATTATTTCCCCCTACCAAAAATCTGTCTTTAAATAACCTGCAACGGGTTGATAAACCGTAAAAAAACGAATCAATCAATCAGCTAAATGTAAGGGATATGTTATAGATGTGTTGAAATAGCTGAAAGAAGTGGATAACTTCTGGACAACTCTTCAGGTGATTTTGAGCAGTGTATTGCTACCCGGGTTTAAAAGGACAAGGTATTTATCCTCATAGGGAGACAAATTTGTCATAGAAATAAAACGAACTTAGAGACAGGCTTGCGACGTTCCTGGAAATAGGCGATTAGGGGAGTTTTTTTTTTTTTAAATCAAAGGCCAATTACAAGACAGAAAAAGAAAATTAAATATGTCCGAGAAAATAATGTGACATACACATAGTAATTTTAAAGGAATTTTTAATACTAAAAGTCACCTAAGTAAAGCTCCGAGAGCCACTCAAGCTAGACGATTTGGTAAAATGGAAACGACAAATGAAATCTGTGATATAAAGAGGTGTCAGGAAGTGAAGATTATGAGGATAAGGAGGATAGATAATAATTGAGACTTGAACTGAAAAGATTAAGACTGTGTTGTTCATTGATTGATTGGTTAGTTTTCTGTGGTTTATCAAACCTTTGCAGGTCATTTAATGCCAGAAAATATTTCTAGATCGTTAGAATTTTTTTGCAGATAACAATAATTTAGTGACTACTAATTAACCCAAAGCAGAGTGGAGAAAAGGTGAATTCAGACCTATCACACTGGTATTTACGCGTAAGTGAATATAACGAACCCAACTGAAATTGGAACTCGGTTCTCCGATTAAAAATTCCGTGTTATTAGTCATTACACCACCTTCACATCCAAGCTTACAGTACCTGGTATTCCTAAGCGATTACACATCTCGGTACTGACCAGGCTCGACGTTGCTTAACTCCGGTGATCATACGGCAACCGGTGTTTCAACGTAATGTGTCTGTAAGCCTGTATTGTTCAGGGAAGCATCTAACTAAACATGTTCTACAGCGTGGTAGTTTCATTGAAAAAATGCCATTCAGTGTAGAGGGTTGTAATGACGTGTGTAAGATGAGGTAGTATGAAGATTTTGAGGATTACGAGGTGGTGTAATCTAGAGAGGGTTACTGAATGAGGAATATCCAAAACGGAGGTTGGAAATGAAAAGGTAATGTTTATAACATCAACAAAATAAAATACTCGCCAGCGGCGTGAAGTAGGTAAACAACTTCTAGTGGTGGACTACTTAGATAGCATATTACCCCCACTTACAATAATATTCAACGTATTTATGAGGATTGGGACATACCCATTAATGCTCATAGGTACGGTATATGACAAGAGGATAGATAACGATTAATTTGAAAAGGTTAAGATTGTAGTGTTCTTTTATTGTCCTTTCTCCTTTCTCCTCACAAAAACCTCATTCTCTTTCATTCTCAGTAACACCTTGCGTTTTAGTTTCATTATCGCCTAGATAGAGGTGAAATATTGTAACCTAGAAAGGGTTACTAAATGAGGAATAACCAAAACGGAGGTTGGAAATAAAAAGGTAATCTTTATAACATCAACAAAATACAATACTCACCAGCGGCGTGAAGTAGGTAAACCACTACTAGTGGTGGACAACAACTTACAATAGTATTCAACGTATTTATGAGGATTGACACATACCCATTAGTGTTCAGAGTTACGGTATATGACCAGAGGATAGATAATTAATTTGAAAAAGTTAAGATTATAGTGTTCAAAAAGGATCAATGCGGGAGTTTATTCTACAAAGTGACTGTCTCTGAGAAAAGATCTGAGTGGAACTTCCGTTTTACAATTGGAATACGGGGGAAATGAGGGTGAATCGCCTCCGTGGACGGATCATGTTTTGTCTTATCTGTAATGTTCTGAACTGGTGGAACTAAAGAATGGAGCTCATCTGAACATTTGCCATGGAAATAGCGATAGAGTAGTGATGGGCTTGCAATGTTGAATCTGTGGGAAAGAAGCTGAAGAGTGGAGAATAAGCCTTCCCTCACCGGACTGTGTAAATGTCCGAGCTGTAATGGTCTGAACTAGGGAACTAAAGAATGGAGCTCATCTGAACATTTGCCATGGAAATAGCGATAAGTAGTGATGAGCTTGCAATGTTGAATCTGTGGGAAAGAAGCTGCAGAGTGGAGAATAAGCCTTCCCTCACCGGACTGTGTAAATGTCCGAGCTGTAAAGGTCTGAACTTGTGGAACTAAAGAATGGAGCTCATCTGAACATTTGCCATGGAAATAGCGATAGAGTAGTGATGGGCTTGCAATGTTGAATCTGTGGGAAAGAAGCTGAAGAGTGGAGAATAAGCCTTCCCTCACCGGACTGTGTAAATGTCCGAGCTGTAATGGTCTGAACTAGGGGAACTAAAGAATGGAGCTCATCTGAACATTTGCCATGGAAATAGCGATAGAGTAGTGATGAGCTTGCAATGTTGAATCTGTGGGAAAGAAGCTGCAGAGTGGAGAATAAGCCTTCCCTCACCGGACTGTGTAAATGTCCGAGCTGTAAAGGTCTGAACTTGTGGAACTAAAGAATGGAGCTCATCTGAACATTTGCCATGGAAATAGCGATAGAGTAGTGATGGGCTTGCAATGTTGAGTCTGTGGGAAAAAAGCTGCAGAGTGGAGAATAAGCCTTCCCTCACAGGACTGTGTAAATGTCCGAGCTGTAAAGTTCTGAACCGGTGGAACTAAAGAATGGAGCTCATCTAAACATTTGCCATGGAAATAGCGATAGAGTAGTGATGAGCTTGCAATGTTGAAGATGTGGGAAAGAAGCTGCAGAGTGGAGAATAAGCCTTCCCTCACAGGACTGTGTAAATGTCCGAGCTGTAAAGGTCTGAACTGGTGGAACTAAAGAATGGAGCTCATCTGAACATTTGCCATGGAAATAGCGATAGAGTAGTGATGAGCTTGCAATGTTGAAGATGTGGGAAAGAAGCTGCAGAGTGGAGAATAAGCCTTCCCTCACAGGACTGTGTAAATGTCCGAGCTGTAAAGGTCTGAACTGGTGGAACTAAAGAATGGAGCTCATCTGAACATTTGCCATGGAAATAGCGATAGAGTAGTGATGAGCTTGCAATGTTGAAGATGTGGGAAAGAAGCTGCAGAGTGGAGAATAAGCCTTCCCTCACAGGACTGTGTAAATGTCCGAGCTGTAAAGGTCTGGAACTGGTGGAACTAAAGAATGGAGCTCATCTGAACATTTGCCATGGAAATAGCGATAGAGTAGTGATGAGCTTGCAATGTTGAAGATATGCATGAAGAAAGAAGCTGCAGAGTGCAGAAGAATAAGCCTTCCCTCACAGGACTGTGTAAATGTCCGAGCTGTAAAGGTCTGAACTTGTGGAACTAAAGAATGGAGCTCATCTGGAACATTTGCCATGGAAATAGGATAGAGTAGTGATGGGCTTGCAATGTTGAATCTGTGGGAAAGAAGCTGCAGAGTGGAGAATAAGCCTTCCCTCACAGGACTGTGTAAATGTCCGAGCTGTAAAAGGTCTGAACTTGTGGAACTAAAGAATGGAGCTCATCTGAACAATTGCCATGGAAAATAGCGATAGAGTAGTGATGGGCTTGCAATGTTGAAGATCTGTGGGAAAGAAGCTGCAGAGTGGAGAATAAGCCTTCCCTCACAGGACTGTGTAAATGTCTGAGCTGTAAAGGTCTGAACTTGTGGAACTAAAGAATGGAGCTCATCTGAACATTTGCCATGGAAATAGCGATAGAGTAGTGATGGGCTTGCAATGTTGAAGATGTGGGAAAGAAGCTGCAGAGTGGAGAATAAGCCTTCCCTCACAGGACTGTGTAAATGTCCGAGCTGTAAAGGTCTGAACTTGTGGAACTAAAGAATGGAGCTCATCTGAACATTTGCCATGGAAAAAAAGCTGCAGATAGAGTAGTGATGGGCTTGCAATGTTGAATCTGTGCAAATGTTGAAGATGTGGGAAAGAAGCTGCAGAGTGGAGAATAAGCCTTCCCTCACAGGACTGTGTAAATGTCCGAGCTGTAAAGGTCTGAACTTGTGGAACTAAAGAATGGAGCTCATCTGAACATTTGCCATGGAAATAGCGATAGAGTAGTGATGGGCTTGCAATGTTGAAGATGTGGGAAAGAAGCTGCAGAGTGGAGAATAAGCCTTCCCTCACAGGACTGTGTAAATGTCCGAGCTGTAAAGGTCTGAACTTGTGGAACTAAAGAATGGAGCTCATCTGAACATTTGCCATGGAAATAGCGATAGAGTAGTGATGGGCTTGCAATGTTGAAGATGTGGGGAAAGAAGCTGCAGAGTGGAGAATAAGCCTTCCCCACAGGACTGTGTAAATGTCCGAGCTGTAAAGGTCTGAACTTGTGGAACTAAAGAATGGAGCTCATCTGAACATTTGCCATGGAAATAGCGATAGAGTAGTGATGAAGGGCTTGCAATGTTGAAGAATGTGGGAAAAGAAGCTGCAGAAGTGGAGAATAAGCCTTCCCTCACAGGACTGTGTAAATGTCCGAGCTGTAAAGGTCTGAACTTGTGGAACTAAAGAATGGAGCTCATCTGAACATTTGCCATGGAAATAGCGATAGAGTAGTGATGGGCTTGCAATGTTGAAGATGTGGGAAAGAAGCTGCAGAGTGGAGAATAAGCCTTCCCTCACAGGACTGTGTAAATGTCCGAGCTGTAAAGGTCTGAACTTGTGGAACTAAAGAATGGAGCTCATCTGAACATTTGCCATGGAAATAGCGATAGAGTAGTGATGGGCTTGCAATGTTGAAGATGTGGGAAAGAAGCTGCAGAGTGGAGAATAAGCCTTCCCTCACAGGACTGTGTAAATGTCCGAGCTGTAAAGGTCTGAACTTGTGGAACTAAAGAATGGATCTCATCTGAACATTTTGCCATGGAAATATAAGCCTTCCCTCACAGGATAGTCTGTAAAGGTCTGAACTTGGAACTAAAGAATGGAGCTCAGAACATTTGCCATGGAAATAGCGATAAAGTGATGGGCTTGCAATGTTGAAGATGTGGAAAGAAGCTGCAGAGTGGAGAATAAGCCTTCCCTCACAGGACTGTGTAAATGTCCGAGCTGTAAAGGTCTGAACTGGTGGAACTAAAGAATGGAGCTCATCTGAACATTTGCCATGGAAATAGCTGATAGAGTAGTGATGAGCTTGCAATGTTGAAGATGTGCGAAAGAAGCTGCAGAGTGAAGAATAAGCCTTCCCTCACAGGACTGTGTAAATGTCCGAGCTGTAAAGGTCTGAACTTGTGGAACTAAAGAATGGAGCTCATCTGAACATTTGCCATGGAAATAGCGATAGAGTAGTGATGGGCTTGCTGTAAATGTTGAAGACGTGGGAAAGAAGCTGCAGAGTGGAGAATAAGCCTTCCCTCAGGGACTGTGTAAATGTCCGAGCTATAAAGGTCTGAACTTGTGGAACTAATGAATGGAGCTCATCTGAACATTTGCCATGGAAATAGCGATAGAGTAGTGATGGGCTTTGCAATGTCTTGGAAGAATGTGGGAAAGAAGCTGCAGGAGTGAAGAATAAGCCTTCCCTAAAAAGGACTGTGTAAATGTCCGAGCTGTAAAGGTCTGAACTTGTGGAACTAAAGAATGGAGCTCATCTGAACATTTGCCATGGAAATAGCGATAGAGTAGTGATGGGCTTGCAATGTTGAAGACGTGGGGGAAAGAAGCTGCATGGAGTGGAGAATAAGCCTTCCCTCACAGGACTGTGTAAATGTCCGTTTAGCTGTAAAGGTCTGAACTTGTGGAACTAAAGAATGGAGCTCATCTGAACATTTGCCATGGAAATAGAGATAGAGAGTGATGGGCTTGCAATGTTGAAGATGTGGGAAAGAAGTCTGGCAGAATGGAGAATAAGCCTTCCCCTGAAAGGACTGTAGGAAATGTCCGAGCTGTAAAGGTCTGAACTTGTGGAACTAAAGAATGGAGCTCATCTGAACATTTGCCATGGAAATAGCGATAGAGTAGTGATGGGCTTGCAATGTTGAAGATGTGGGAAAGAAGCTGCAGAGTGGAGAATAAGCCTTCCCCTTCCCTCACATGGACTGGAGCTCATCTGAACATTTAGAAAATGTCCGAGCTGTAAAGGTCTGAACTTGTGGAACTAAAGAATGGAGCTCATCTGAACATTTGCCATGGAAATAGCGATAGAGTAGTGATGGGCTTGCAATGTTGAAGATGTGGGAAAGAAGCTGCAGAGTGGAGAATAAGCCTCCCCTCACCGGACTGTGTAAATGTCCGAGCTGTAAAGGTCTGAACTAGGGGAACTAAAGATTGGAGCTCATCTGAACATTTGCCATGGAAATAGCGATAGAGTAGTGGTGGGCTTGCAATGTTGATTCTGTGGGAAAGAAGCTGCAGAGTGGAGAATAAGCCTTCCCTGACAGGACTGTGTAAATGTCCGAGCTGTAAAGGTCTGAACTAGTGGAACTAAAGAATGGAGCTCATCTGAACATTTGCCATGGAAATAGCGATAGAGTAGTGATGGGCTTGCAATTTTGAAGATGTGGGAAAGAAGCTGCAGAGTGGAGAATAAGCCTTCCCTCACAGGACTGTGTAAATGTCCGAGCTGTAAAGGTCTGAACTTGTGGAACTAAAGAATGGAGCTCATCTGAACATTTGCCATGGAAATAGCGATAGAGTAGTGATGGGCTTGCAATGTTGAATCTGTGCGAAAGAAGCTGCAGAGTGGAGAATAAGCCTTCCCTCACAGGACTGTGTAAATGTCCGAGCTGTAAAGGTCTGAACTGGTGGAACTAAAGAATGGAGCTCATCTGAACATTTGCCCTGGAAATAGCAACTAAGTAGCGATTGGTTCGCGAGCTTGCGTCTGTAGAAAAGAAACTTTCCTCTCAAAAGATCGTTTAAATAATTTTGAACCCTGTCAATGCTGGAAAGTGACTATTGAACAGCTCCAGTCCAGATGTGGTAGCAATCTGCCATTTTACTGACAAATGATTTGCCCTTAAGATACAAGAGTCGGAAATAAGAAAGAAAAAAATACTTACTGCTTACACACTTAAACTTATCACAGCAGGAACCCGGCTCTCTCGTCGCTTTTTGAACAACCATTATATTGAAATGAAGAGGACATTCAACCGGAAGGCATTTGTCACGAGTTGGGCATACACAACTGTAAAAACAAATGGCAAATTTTAATAGCTTCCCAAATAAGGTCCATTTCAATCTAAGCAGCAGGTTTCCAAATAATGCATTTTAAAATTAATCTCCCCGTAAAAAGTTATTTTATTAAAAAGTACTCTATTTATGGGGATCTGTTAATTTTAAAATGTACAATTTGGAAAAAAAATACATAACCTCTTTTTTAACAATACAACCCAAGTAATATATTCTAAAAATAATAAGTCACCAAATATAATTCTGTTTCAATAAAAACACGCAAATACTCTCTTCTTTAATATTAGGACCCATACAGAGACACTTAAAATATCGATCTCTTAAATAAAGTCCTTTTTAAAAATAGTCTCTAACATAGGCTCTATTTAAATAATATCCACTCAAATAAAGTCCTTTTTAAAAATAGTCTCCAACATAGAATCCATTTAAATAATATCCACTCAAATGAAGTCCTTTTTAAAAATAGTCTCCAACATAGACTCTATTTAAATAATATCCACTCAAATAAAGTCCTTTTTAAAAATAGTCTCCAACATAGGCTCTATTTAAATAATATCCACTCAAATAAAGTCCTTTAACTTATAGTCTACAAAATAGGTTTATACATCTATTTTAATAATAGCTTTACAAATGGTGTCCTTTTATAAATAATAGACCCGGAAGAGATTCTTTTTAATAATGGGTCACAAATACAATTCTTTTAAAAATACTTTTTACAAAATTTCTTTTTAAGCAAGAAACCAAATGCAATCCTTTTTAAAAATATTGGTTTCATGGTCACGATCTTTTTAATAACAGCTCCCGCAATAAGGCTCTCTTTAACAGACAAAACGTAAAATCAAGCACTATCCTAAATAGAGTCTTTTTTAAAAGTAAATTTATCTCAAACCCATGTCCTTTTTTTTTAAATTTATTCAATTGGCCGCTAGTGGATTGTTGAGAGGCGTTCCACTTCACCGGTCGGATCAGAAAACACTACCGAGTAATCTTACCCAGTTTTATTTTTATTTACAATAAATATACAGTTTAAAATGGAATGATCGTAGACTTACACTGGGTCGCTGAAACAGCAGCCATCTTTGGACAATTCTTGGGACACTTTCAGACTATCCGACGGGCAGTCTTGTGGTTCTTCGCAGATGACGTCAGCACATTTCTCTGCAAGTCAAAACAGAAGAAATAAAATGAGAAAGTCTGATTTTAAATGAATTTCTCAACACAGCAGTGTTATGAGTACCCAAGAGTGGTCTCCCTTTGTTTTGTTACTCTCCTTTTTGAGAGAGCTATTTCTGTTTACTGGGACTATAAAAGGACACTATATGCGAACCTTGTATTCTTAGTTGATTTTATATTTAGTCTATTCTTAGTTGAATAAAGCTTTCTTAAAGCTTACACCTGCGTACTTTTTGTCATTACAAGCAGTACTTTTAAACTGGGGTACCATTACGTCTTTGGGTATCTTAGAGTGTAGTTAGGGGTGTCGCGATATTTTAAATTCAGTATATCCAAATTGAAAAGAAAAAGAACGTTTCTCCAATCCTATCAAAAGAACACATCGAGGAGTGAAAACGCACTCAGCACTGAAGTTTTTATTTCGGGAGAATTTAATTAAAAACAAAAACAACGAAGACTTAGCCATTATTAGGTCTTCTTCTTTGTACCGTGTTACATCAGGACGTTGGAAATTATGGCTCTTCACAACTTCCTATCATTTGTAACTCTTAGCAAGCTTTATTTTTCGCTCTCTCACTACTTGTTCAGTCATCCATTTACACAAGCTTGTTAGCTAGACTATTAGCTGCTTTGGTATATCTTGATTTCAATGTCCTCTGAGTTTCAAATTCGCCGGGCTCTCTTTCCTCATTATGCATCCTAGAAATGTCAACTTCTCTTTTATTCATAATATACACGCCCTTTTTGTTTTCATTTTCTCTAAAACTTCCTCGTTATTCACATGTTCAGTTCGTGGTATTCTCATCATCCTTCTGTAGAACCACACTTCTGTTGCTTCTAGTCTCTTCGTCATCTGTGAGATTGTACAGCATTTACTACCAAATAGGAGAACTGTTATTGTATCAAATTTTCCAAGTATTTTTTCTTATTTTTTTTATTTATAATGGAAACCTTATTAATAAAAACAAAAAAAAACAACACTTAATAATATTAACTTTGAACATGGACATAATATCTTGACCATGTTTTGAAACAAAAAAAAAGGAAAACATTTTTATAAAACATACATACAACAATTTATTTCTAATTTTAACAGTTAAAACATTAAATCCTTGAAAATGGCTAAATATATAACCGAAAGCGCTCGGATAAAAAGAACATTCAGACAGTTTTTATATAATCTATCATCCGAAAAGAAAAAAATATTAGATCGCATGAGAAATTCTATAAAAAACTAAATAAAAGCACCTTGTCTGTCGTTTTTAATGAAAGAAGGATTGCTGCCTAAATACACACACGCACACACACACACATACACACACACACACATATATACATATATAGTTATTTATTTAAAAATATGATTCCATCGCTTCATAAGAGTTCTCATGTTTCAAAATGCGTTTTTATAAGCATATTCATTATTAAAATTAAAATTACTATAGTAACGGCTAGAGCAATTATTTAAAAAAGGGGCATAAGGTAAATAATTTGTATCAATATCTCAGTTACTTTCAAAGAGGTTAAGTCAGGGTAAGGTTGGGGTGTCTAAATTTAAAGCGGAAGATGACATCGTCTAGTCTGGTTAAGTGTCTGTGGAGATTTATTTATTATTTCATTATATATATATATATATATATATATATATATATATATATATATGAAAATATATATAAAATAGGAAAAGAACTGGTTAGGTAGATCCAAAGTTCCTTAATATTAATTTATTTTTTTCAAAAAAATAGTGCTCGATACAAATGTAGAGATAAATATAATTATTTATTTAAAATATGATTCCAACTCACATAAGAGGTCTCATGTTTCAAAACAAGGCCGAAAACTTCAATATAATTATTTGAATTAAATTGAGTTAAAGAAAGCTCTGTCCCATCTTCAAGCGAAATTTTTTTGGAATAACTTATTTCAGAAATTTACGTGTTTTAATTATTAAAAGACGTAAATTGAAGATGGAACAGAGCTTTCTTTAACTCAGTTTAATTCAAATAATTATATTGAAGTTTTCGGCTCTTGTTTTGAAACATGAGACCTCTTATGTCGCGAATTGGAATCATATTTTTAAATAAATAATTATATATATATATATATATATATATATATATATATATATATAATGAAATAAACTAAGTCCGACAATTATTTTATATTTTCTGTTTATACGTTATTTTTTTAGATACAACTATTTAAGCAAATGCTCTGTTTATAATAAACAGTAGTAACTACATTTACTGGCCTGAATGTACGAGAAATTTCATAGAGAATATGTCTCCTCCGACAGAAATCGAACTTGTATCTTACACATAACCGTCATATAGCCTGACGTACTATTTATCCACAGAAGAAACGTCTGGTAAGCAAAGTCAAATTACTGCTTTTAAACAACAAATTTCCCAAACGCTTGTATCTACTCGAAGCGTATCTTAACGTAAATAAATGACAGCAGATAATTTAATACTTTTGTGATGTCGAACGGCTTCGCGTGTCACTTTTGCTATGTTAAGCGAGGTCCCGTTATCACTTCCAAAAATGCTCGTTATATTCGACATTTCGTAGCCGCCGGTACTGGTAGTAACGCCTTTCAATAATATCCTCACTAGTAATACTTGTCCAAGTAGTAATCGCCAAATCGTATAATGATCAGAAGAGAATCCTAATCCATATAGAAGTAGAGAGAGTAAACGTATAGCATTAGTGGATAGACAAGAAGCGTGAACAGTGAGCGTATAGTCATCACGCTACTTCCTATTTAATCACTTTCATTATGATCACGTGATCTACTTAATAATGGAATCGCCCGTGTTACTCACTGGCGATCTAGTTTCAAACCACAGTGTCGACAACGACACTTACTCTTATACAAGAAATATATTTTCTGTATATACATTATTTTTTTTATAGATACAAATATTTAAGTAAATGCTCTGGTTATAATAAACAGTATTAACTACATTTACCGGCCAGAATGTATGACATTTCTCGTATATTCGGGCCGGTTACATTTTCTCGTAGAGAGTGTATAATCTGGCGTGATCAGCAAGTGAACGAGATCAGTATACTCAAGTTCTCGGTCACAATGACTTGTGCCTTCTTGCTAGCAAAGCTACCAACGGCTTCCGAATAATTTTATCTGCGCAGTATCCCTCACGTAGCTTGGAACCAACCCGTAGTATGTTTTTTCGGCCACTGTGAACATTATCAATAAGTTCAGTTCTTTGTAAATCAATCATGATGAGCTTCTGTTAGATTCACATGGTCGGAACGCTATCGTTCTAAACACACATTCACACCATATATAAGATTTAATTAGGCTGTACTTTATAGAAGGAAAATAGACTATAGCGATAGGCCTGGAAAGATTATGGTAGATAAAAGCAAACTGAAAGCATGAATAAGCGAAATTAAACGAGCAGAAGATATGGAACAAAGAGCAAGACTATCGCTTGAAAGATAAGAAATTTTTGTTTTTTTAATACATTTTTTTATACCAGTGTCAAAATGAATACACAGCTCATTCATAAAAATGCCAGTTGGCGGATTCCATAAAAGAATAAACGCGTTTTTAAGAGATGGAAGAGAAAAAGCGGTGACGATGACGACATTGACTTCATCTGATAACGAAAAATTCGCGCCTTTAATGGACTGACGGTTGTATCAGAATACGATAAATTGTATGACCAGTATTAGAAAGCGCATAAAACAGCCTTTATTGTTCTGGCTTATCGGAAGGAAAGTCAAGGTTTTTCTCGTATTTATTTGGTCGCTATGGGTATAGATGCTCGTCTTGTTCAGTGGCTCGCGATTCGGAAAAGAGAACTTTGCAAGCCGAGTTCGAATTCCGGTCGAGCTTGTTACGTCCCAGTATAATTTGGAAAATTCTGAATATGCCTTTGCTCCCACCTAGCTATGGGTTAAACAGCAAGACAGACTGTGCATTCTTGCTTTGAGGTAGTAACCAGTCAACGGGAATGAAAACGGAATTCAAAATCATCCTTAAGAGGGATGGGATACGCCAGGCTATCCTGTTCTAGTATCACCACTGCTGCAATGGCTTCAGTAAATATGGTGCCTCAACGACTCTTATGGCTTACGGAACTCATAATATGAACATGGGTCTAGAATATTTAAACATATCGTACCAAATCCCAAACAAATCTACTCATAGAAAACAGCGCTCTTGTTTTCCATTAGTGGATTTAAAAAAAATTATGCTGATGGCATAGGTGTTCATTGATGGTATAAGAATGCACTTAAACAAAAGTCAACTTTCTTTGCCAAATCTTCCAAGAAACGGGACTCAAGATAAACCTTTCCAAATCAGAAACCATGATATAGAATTGGGATGAAAGCCGTGATGATGACACCTACCCTGAATCCATCATAAAAATTCAGGACGTGGAATGCGTAAAAGCTAAACATTTCAAATAACTCGATGTTTGGATCTATTATAACAATTTTAGTATTGAAAATAAAGAAGTTGAAAACAGGGGAAGTTTTTCTAGAGTTAGTGAGTTTGTTTTGTTTTACGGCATATCAACCTCAATGGGTTATTCAATGTCAACAAGATTTTTATTGCCGGTAATATATTTTTTAAATGTCTTGCTAGTAATATTTTTTCCTTCAAAAATCTATTGCTAGTAATATTTTTTTTTCAACAATCTATTGCTGGTAATATTTTTTTCCTTCAAAAATGTTTTGCTGGCAATAATTTTTTCTTCAAAAATTCATTGCTGGTAATATTTTGTTCTTCAAAAATGTATTGCTGGTAATATATTTTTCCTTCAAAAATGTATTACTGGTAATTTTTTTCCTTCAAAAATGTATTGCTGGTAATACTTTTTTTCCTTCAAAAATGTTTTACTGGTAATAATTTTTTCTTCAAAAATTCATTGCTGGCAATAATTTTTTTACAAAAATGTATTACTGGTACTAAAACCTATTTTTACACTTTCATAGTGTTTTGGCCCCAGTTTAGGGGTTAACTATTTGCCCATAGTTGGGACCCTAACAAGAGCTACCACCCCGGGTCAGGGTGGACCTGGGAACACCAGCAATTAAAAGATGGTTCCACGGTCCACAGAAGCTCCTGATCTGAGGCATTGCTGTTGGACGTCGTTTGTCATCTTACCCAGGACGCGGATGTAGTTTATCGTCTTACTCAGTTTAGTTATATCCAGTGCGCGTGTCTCCAAAGGTCGAACGTTTGTTTGTTTTTTTCTTCTTTTATAAATCTCACGACGTGCAAATGACAGTATCATCAATGTTTCAAAAGAATACAGTATGTTAATAAATTTCGCCTTCAGTTGCTTGGGTGAATTTAACAGTGTAGGCTTTGATTTGAATTTCACCATTGCACCTATCTTAATTTAAAAAAAAAATAACCAGGCAGGATTAATTTACAGCCAGACAATCACGAGAAACAGTAAAATTATGGAAAAAAACAACACGGCAATAACATTAATAACCACGACCAAAGAAAAAAAAAACATTGTTTCAATGGTCATTTATGTTAACAAGTAAGGGAAAGGTTTCATTATAAGCGAACAAGTCCTGGGTATGACGATAAACTACACCCGACAACAAGGCCTCTGATCAGGAGGTTTTGAGGAGTATGGAACCACCCTTTAATTGCTGGTGTTCCCAGGTCTACCTTGACCCGGGGTGGTAGCACCTGTGAGGCTCCCAGCTATGGGCAAATAATTAACCAACAAATTGGGTGAAAATGCTATGAAAGTGTAAAAATAGTTTTTAGTACCAGTAATACATTTTTGTAAAAGAAATTATTACCAGTAATGAATATTTGAAGAAAAAATTATCACCAGCAATACATTATTACCAGTAATACATTCTTGGAAAAAAAATATTACCAACAATAAAAATTTTGTTGGCATTAAGGTTGATATACCGTAAAACAAAAGAAACTAAAAAAAGAATGTTCGTCAAAATTTCAATTATTTCAAAGATCTGCTATCGAGGAGCAGAAAGGCCTCCAATATCTTTAACTACCGAAGAGGAGAGACATTAACTATTGCCCGCAACAGAATAATCTATTCCACAATGGATTGCTGCACCTTGTCTGATGGTTGTGAGCTATAGCTAATACATGAAACAGAAGAAGCTAGTATAGATGCATATATGCATTTGATATGTATGTTAGGGATGCGCATTAATTTTGCTCCTTCAAGTGAACATCCCTTTTTGATTGCTATGAACTCCACTCTTTATATTTGAAGTTAAGTTTATGATTGGCTAATGTTTACCTACATACAGCAGACTACGCGTTCTTGTACTTAGCCTAACTCCATAATATTGTAATGTCTGGGATCTAAAAGTCGAAATTTTGATATATAGTAGGCTAATGTGTTGACTGCTAATCCTTGCATGTAGCTTAACCTCATACTACTGTAATATTAAATGCAAATATCTGGGACCTAATAATCGAAATTGTGATATCTGGTAGGCTAATGTGTTGACTGCCAATCCTTGCATGTAGCTTAACCTCATACTAATGTAATATTAAATGCAAATATCTGGGGCCTAATAATGGTAGGCTAATATCTACCCACACAGTATATACTACCGATCAGTTTGCCTAGCCTAATTCAGTAATGTAGTATCAAACATGCACAATTAGGGTCTGGGCACCCCGGGGCTGTGTAATGGTTAACAAGCTTGTCTCGCTAGAACAATTACGATTGGGTGGTGAGTTCGATTCTCACTGGGTGCCCCATACTTTCTGCCTTGTGCCACATCTAAGCTACGCTTGGAAAATCAGTACAAAATGAGGATCTTATATGCTATCAAATGCGAAAAAATATTCTTTATCTGCTTCAATAGATTTGTCAAGCTTTAAATGGAAGGTGTAGATTGCTGACTGCCTTGATTTTCAAGCGACTGAACAAAGCTTTTTGCCAAATAGATGAGAAGAAAAACTTTCTTACCGTTTCGTTTGCATTCGAATTGGTCACAACAATTGCCCGGTTTTCCGGTCCCTTTGTGGATCATCTGAGCCGTAAAGCCAGGGCCGCACATGGGAACATCGCAAAGATCCATATTGCAAAGGCAGGCCAAACGATGTTTGCAGCAACTTTCGGCAGACGTACTGCCACCGGTTGAGACGCTCGTGTTGGATGTAAGTCTTGAATCCTTGGGGCATTGGTACTTGATGGTAGTGTCACAGCCGATATTGCGACAAGGGTCGTCATCCTTTTCTGCAATTGCAACACAATAAGACATGTAAAAGTTTGGAGTAGGATTGATTAAAACATATCAGTATTTTCATTCACTCAGAATATTACCCCGCAAGCGCCAAACAAATATATAGTAAAACGAAGAACGTCCGGGATAAGACGATAAACTACATCCGCGTCCTGGGTAAGACTATAAACTACATCCGCGTCCTGGGTAAGACGATAAACTACAACCGTGTTCTGGATAAGTCTCCGTCCGACAGTAAGGCCTCTGATCCGGAGGTTGTGAGGAGTGTGGAACCACCTCTTAATCGCAAGTCCACTTTGACCAGGGGTAGTAGCACCTGTTAGGGTCCCAGCTATGGGCAAATAGTTAATCCCCAAACTGGGCTCAAAACCTATAAAATTGTAAAAATAGGTTTTAATACCAGCAATACATTTTTGTAAAAAATATTACCAGCAATACATTTTTGTAGAAAAATATATATTAGCAGCAATACTTTTTTGAAAAAATATTACCAGCAGTAAAAATCTTGTCGGCATTAAATAACTCATTCAGGTCGATAGGCCATAAACCAAACCAAACCAAACTTAAACGTCGATTTAAAGAAGCATTTAAGCGCTTCCTTAAATCCATTAGTTCCTTAAATACGAAAACCCCTTCATTTCGTAAAGAAGCAAGTTCTGTACATTCAACCGAGAGTCATTGATAGCAGTTGTTTGCAATAAACAAGTGACCTTGGCCACACATTACACAACTCGGGTCATTGAGATGGGTCTCACTCTTTCTTTTTCTTTCTCTCTCTCTTTCACTCTCTCACGCACACACACACACATACACAAACACATACACACATAGATACACTATTTTCAAATAGAGTTTGTTATTTATTGTTTAGACCATCTTTAAAAGTTCTTCGGCAATCTTTTTCATTTTCAACTTTAGAGCTAACATGGTTGACATGTACTTAGTAACATAACACGGACTCGGTGAATGATTTGTTCTAGCATTTGTCTAATGCAGCGTTTCTATACCTTTTTACCCTTGTGTAACCCTTAAAATAAATTGCATGCCTCAAAGAACCCCAGCGCAAAAACAAAATTATATACCATATCTTTCTCATTTTATTTTCATCTTAGTTCACGTGGTAAATATCATAGATATATTTTTGAATAACTGGTTTAAGGAAAAATTAATACTTCTTTGTCAAATTTTTTGGTAGTGTTAAATAAAATTCATACTGTTCATTTATAATACTTCATCAGGGAGTTTTCATTCACACCAAAAAATTCTAAACTCAAAAGTAAAAAATAAATATAAGTAACCAATATCATATACCTATAATAGAAATGTAAACAGAATGAAAACACATAATTGCTGCATCAGTTTTTTTAATTTTTTTATCCTTTAATGGCAATGTTGAAAAGACATAAGGTAAATCAAGGCAAAAAGTCCTGTGAAGCAATAAATGGGCTACGAAAATGTTACTTTCAAAGCCATTTGATAAAGTGAAACATGTTTCTCTAATGTGAAGCCTATGCTTATCTTTTGCTACACAAATACTTAATTCGAGGTGAAACTTTAGATAAACATACACGGATTTCATTCTCAATTGAGACGAGACGATTTCTGTCTTTGCTCTTGATACTTGTTAAATAAGAAAAGATTTGCTCACACATATAAGACGTTGAAAACTGCAAGAATATATTGTTTTCCTATGAATAGTAGGAAACTCTTCTTTGACAGAAATTCAGAACTTGTCCAGAGATAGGTCTGTAAATATTATCTTGAGTGTACGATCACACTGCAGCTCACAAAATTCTTCCTCTTCTTTTAATGATTGGTATATTTTTTAATAACATAATAGGTTAGAGAGGATGATATCTGTATTACAATAACTAAGAATATCTTGTGTGTGTTTAGTAAGATTACTGATATGAAATTAAATAAAATGTCAAAAGCGCATTAGCTTATCTCACCTGTTCTCGCGGAACCCTTGGAGAACTTTTACGGAACCCCAGTTGAGAAACGCTGGTCTAACGTCATTCAATTCAGTGAGTCGATGCCGGACGACAGTTAGTCGAATACTAAAGTATCAGCGCCCACAAGTAGATTACTCTGCGTTATACCTATTATATCAAGTTCCTAACGTTTTGTACGTCGAACCTATTTTAGGACCGACTTAGTAAAAATACAAGCCTCCACCATGAAATCACTCCACAATAAGATCAAACCACAGCCGACGTCCCAACTTGAAGAGCCGACTTGTTGAGGGACACGAGACCTATAATTCCGTCGGAGGAGCTCTCCGCCATTCCTTAAGTCCAAGAAGCGTTCCATCCGGCGATGCTGTGGCACTACAGCACGGTGGCATTTGACCATGCAAGAAAAATCAGTCGCTTCTTTGAGAGATTTTATTTTTTAATCCTATTGCGGGTTTAGCTAACTACTTCACCAGAAAAGCTTGATAGGACAATTGGTGTGACCCAATCATGCGGCAGATTACATGGTACCAAATATCATTTGCAGAATGACCTTGCTATTTTAACACGAGCGCTTTATTGCTATTTACAACTCGTTGTTGATAAAAAAAAATCCTTGAGATATCACGCGCAGGATTCGTTAAACATCCTAATGATCATATGTATGGTTGGATTGCAAATATTAAAAGGATTTATAGAATGTAAATGAACGGCGAACTACCCATAGTTCATTTAGCGTGTGAATAGATATAGCAAATATATTATGAATAAAAAATAACCCTGATAGTTACATAGGTATTTTCCGATAGAAAAATGCTGCAAAATGCACTGCAAGGAAAATTGGTTCACTGTGTCGTGCCAAAAGATTTTACTCGTCAGAATCCATCTTGCACATTTACAAATCTATCATTCGTCCGTAAATTGAACACTGTTGCTATATCTGGTCTGATGATCCTGCTGTTTATCTTAAGATTCTTTACAAAATCCAAAGAAAGATCTGCAATATAATCGATCCTGACCAGGCATATCGACTTCACTCACTTTCTCATCGACGTGACGTGGTTCCCTTGATCTTTACAAATATTTTCATGGAAACTGCTTTGATGAGCTTTTCTTCCTTGGTTACCCGACTACATGAATTTACTCACTCTACTAGATTGGCAGTTAGGTATCACTGTTTTACTGTTGAACTAGCTTGTTGCAACCGACACTTCTATTCTAATAGTTTCTTTACCCTCACTTTCTACCCGTGGAACTCCCTTCCCATTTCTTGCTTCCCCGATAACTACAATCTTCAATAATGTAAATGCAACGTCAACTGCCATCTTCTGTCTTCTTGAAACCTGTTCCTTTTTTATCCTTTCCACAGTCCTCCATATTCTCAGTCTTATCATTTTCTTTCACTTTCAATCCCTGAACCCCCACACGTTTTAGTGACATTATCGTCTTGTTTAGAGTGAAACGATAAAACAAAAATTAATATTAGAGGCCTGTCTTGAAAGCGCAAAAGAAACGTTTTGATTTCCATCACAGAAGAATTTGTAATAGCCCACCTAAAGAAGGGTAAAGTTCATTCACAGGATTATGAATTAAGCAATGAGATATTAGAATTTAAAAGCGAAATTCAGCTATTTAAATACAAAATAGTGCATTTAATTTTTACATAAAATTTGTTTGCAAAAAATCCTAATTCCTCATCTGTATTCTATAAAGAAATAGCTGTAAGCTTGGATGTGCGGGTGGTGTAATGGGAAATGTCTCGCAATTGCAAATTGGAGACCCAAGTTCAATTCCAGTTGGGTTCGTTATATTCACTTACGCGCAAATACCCTTGGGAAAAGTATGAATCCGACTCTTCTCCCCTAGCTATGGGTTAATTAGTAAGGCTTGTATCACCAAAACCATTATTATCTCCACTCCCATATTCCTACAATCTAAAAATATTTTCTGGCTTTAAATAATCTGCAACCTTCATAAATTTAAAACAATGTCAGTCGCCATCGACTGTCTTGCTGATTACTCTTCTTTTGTTCTTGGTCCTGTTTCTATTTCTAACTCTTCCACATCTAGTAAACCTTTGTGTCTCAGTGGCTTTACTGCCTTGCGTAGGGTGAAGTCGATTCAAGCATATATACACTCACACTGCTGGACTGTTAGACTCAGAAGTTTCCCAATGCTTTCTTTTTGTACTGGTGAGCTCATTCTTAGAAATAAATCTTGAGAAGAACACCGACTTTTTACTATACTCTCACACTGTACAAGGCCCAAGAGCCACTCGAGGTGGAGGGCTACAGATTAAGAGGCACCGCCTCAAGCAAGATGACAATGTGACCAAGATGCAAGGAGATCACCAGAAATGGGAATTAAGAAAACTTTCGAAGGAACCAGAAAACCAATCCTAAACAAAAAAAAAACAAGGGATAGATCCTTACTCCTGTTCAAAAGCCCGGGAGGAGTGTAAACCGGGTGATAGGTGAACCTATCTACTCCTATTGAAGAAAAAAAAATGATAAATGGTAAATGAAAGTTCAGTGTTTTAGGCTGGGAACTTAAAAATATAGAGTTTTTAGAAGGAACCGGAAACTAAACAAGAAACAAGGGATAAGACTCTACTCCTGTTAAAATGATCGGGGAGGAGTGTGAACAGGACGATAGGCGAACCTATTTACTCCTAGCTCCATACTCTTCTCCTGTAAATATATCATGCTATATAAAAGTTTATTTTGATGATATTAATCACTTTTTTATTATTTTCAATCTTCACTGGAGACCCCATTGATATAGGATTGGATACGACCTTATCATAAGGTAAATTCACTACACTCTATAGAGAAAGCAATAAAAATGACTCCAATGTCTTTCAAAAAAAAAAAAAAAAAAAGAAAAAAAAAGAAAAGCAATTATGATATTGCAGAGTCTAGAGATATTAAAAAACTCAGAAGGAATTTTTGTAAAGCTACGACTGCTTACGTTCTCCAGGGATATGACACTTAAAGAGACAGATTTCTTAAAACACTTTAAGTAGTTAGGAAAATGGCCTTTTCCTTATTGAAACAAATTCAC